GGGGGGGGGGGATCTATGCCAGTCGCACTAGTTCTGTTGTTTTCATAGTAAAATGTTTACTATAGATACATTGTTATAATATCTAATTTTCTGTATTTTCAGTTGGAAGTAGAAAACAACTGAGGTTTGCAAGGTCCAATGAAGATGGTTCCAAATTATTTCTTAACAGTGCTAAATCTCGCAGTTCTTTAACGTCTGTGCCGTCCTCTGCTGGGTCTCTTGCCATCAGGGGTACGGGGGCTACCAAAGGTAGGTACAAATATTCGAAGTAGGACAGTTTACGATAATGTCCGTGTATATTGAGTCAGGAATCATACGCTACATATGTCAGTACTACACTTAAATATACAATGCAGTTTTCTTGTATTTTTGAAAACATTATACAATGTACAAAAAACATCTTTCATAAACAGAAACATGTTTCTTCTGGTGATTATATCTGGTATGTTCTTAACTCTGCCACCATATGAAGAATTACAGTTTAATCTTGATATGATGTCCCTCGTGTCATTTGCCATTTCACTTACAGCCACATATTTCAAGATCCCTTTTCCTCTTTTTCTTTAAAATTGCTTTATGTTTTCTTCAATTTATTACCAAAATTTCCCTGGACTATTAGTGGCAGTATAAAAGGGACTATTAGTGGCAGTATAAAAGGGACTATTAGTGGCAGTATAAAAAGAACTATTAGTGGCAGTATAAAAAGGACTATTAGTGGCAGTATAAAAAGGACTATTAGTGGCAAAAAATGGACTATTAGTGGCAATATAAAAAGGACTACATTTTGTATTAGTGACAGTATAAAAGGGGCTATTAGTGGCAGGATAAAAAGGACTATTAGTGGCAGTATAAAAAAGACTATTAGTGGCAGTATAAAAAAGATTAAGTGGCAGTATAAAAAGGACTATTAGTGGCATATAATGAGGTTTAACTGTATGTAATGGAGATAAAATTGTTTCAGATGAGGAGTATGGAGGTCTCGACCTGCCGTTTCTTGGCGCAGAGGAAGTTGTGGATGAAGTCATTACCCTGCTAGCGAGACTGGAAAATAATCGTATGGAAGTGATCAATAAACTGGGGCAAGAAAAGGAAAAAGTCATACGACTAAATGGAAAAATAGACCGCCTCTGTCTCAAACGTATGGTGGAAATGCCTGCTGTCGTTCAAAAGGGTATGAGTTTTGTTTTAATTAACACAAGAATGTATGCTCTTAAGTGAACTTTAAATTATTTTATTATGAAAAAATACAAAGGAATCGCCTTTATTATGGCTGTGTTTTATTATGTGCTTGTATTTATAAAGCCCGAGTATGTTTTTACATATATTTTCAATATACACATATAAATAATGACAGTGTGCAGAGAACTTTATCACATAGCTGACCTGTTGTATACCCTGTGTCCTAGTCTTAGAAAGAAAGCAAAATAAGGTAGTGTGACATTAAAAAAAACCATATTGTATTATTCTCTGTGATTTTAGATATTTTATCTACACTAAGTAATTACAAAAAAAACACCAGTTCTTGTAAAGCTGGTATGTTTAACTCATTTACTCCTGAAGACACATTTGAACTCGTCCAATTCAAAGGTTGGAATAGTTCATTATGAAATTTCAGGGGTGAATGAGTTAAAGTGTGTAAGACAAAGCATATTGATGAAAAGTTGTGCTAATTGTCTTACTAGGTATTAATCTGAAGTATGATTTTGCTTTTATTAAATGTTCAGAGTAAGAACGTAAACAACATGCGAACACATGTATTGCTTTACAGAACATGAGGCGTGCATCATGGATCTGAATGAACTACAATGGCATGTAGCCTATGCCACAAGGAATGACAAACGCATGCAAGATCGGTGTAACATAGCCGAGGTTCTCAACTCCAGACTCATCGAGGACCTCGCCTTCGTCAAAAAACACATGTAAAATTTTATTTAAGACATGTTAATATTTACTTTACACTTATTTATACACTCATAGATATTTCTCATGAAAAATTCAATATTTCATCTGTAACATCATAATTGAAAACACCTGGTAGACATCAAAGTGGAAAAGTTAACTTAAATAATATCCTTAATTGCAGTTTCTGTAGAATTTAAACACCATATGTATGTCTGTGTTTTTTTTATCTCTATGATCATTAAAATGCTTTTGTCCTATGTATATGTAATCAAAATTTCAATATTGTAGCAAAATGATAGGACTTTACCTAACCTGCCTGTTAATATTTTGTACTTTGTGTTTGTTCTTTTTAGACCACTGGTTGAAGAAAAGTTAGAATTAGAATTAGAGGCCATGGCCAGAATAACAAATGCACAAACTGAGGTAAGTATCAACAATCTGTATTCTATATACAGTACTTCAGACTATCTCATTGTTACTTTAGTGTTTCTTGTTATTTCTGAATGTGTGAACTGTTCAGAAATAATTTTAGGTCTATGTATAATTTATCATATGGGCAAGGTGGGAAGGCACCAGTATCGATATATTATAATAATAATTAATAATAATTTGAGGTTCTTATATACTGCTTTATCACAAACTAGTTCCTAGGTCGTCTTAAAGCGGTTCATAAATTATTGTCCGTGGCTATAGGGCCTTTGCAACCAGCCAATATCTTTCTCAACTCCCTGGGGAGCATACAGCCGATGCTGCCATTTCGGCGCTCATAGCTAGCGTTCAACAATTCTAGCACTTCCCAACCATATACTCATTTACAGCTGAGTAGACTGGAACAAGCGGAGTAAAGTATCCTGCTCAAAGATACAATACAGTGCTGTGTCGTGACTCGAACCTGCAAATTCATATCTGCCTACCATTCCTTATAAATATTAAATTACTTTTAAATTGTATGGTTGGTGAGGTCTCTGAAAAAGTACCTCCCAGTCCTACCCCTCCTCTATGATTTATTCTGGAGCAGCCCTTATGGTAAATGTCTGGATAAAACTCATGTCCAATAATTCGTAAAACTTTTATCTCAGACTGTCACTGAACTGGACACCACCACACAAAGACAGGAGAAAACTGCATCCAAGTCCTCCGAGGCTTTGCAGAAAGCTGATACCGAGCGGTCACACATCAAACGAGAACTGGACACGGTCAAGGATGAACTGACCACCATAAGGTAGTTTAGTTATAAATATTCAGAACATTTCTGTTTTGTTCTTTGCTATTTGTCAGACTTTTAACATCTTAAATGAGCTTGTTATGTATAACTTTTGTAATGAAGAACTTGGGCAACTGACTAGTTTAGAGATTTGGAGTTGACACAGATCAGGCAATGCGTAGTATCTCTCAGAACTATGGCTTGTCCAGCTGGGCTGATGTTTGGATTAAGCTGCTTCGTCTTTGTTAAAACTAATGACAGCAGACAGTATCACATGAGTGTGATCAGCTGGCTATATACAGTATTGACTTTTGGCAAAATAAAAATAATCTTAAGTTTCTGCTTACCCTACCTACCTACCCTTGATTTTTGTGCCTACCCTAAAGTTTTTATTGGCATTTAGTGATATGCACTGTGGTCGTCAGAACTCCTGCTCTATATAAGCATAGTAAAAATATTTCCAAAGCCAAAAAAAAATGCCTACCTAGCTACCTACCCTATTTTTCTGAGAATAATTGCAGAAACACAAGTTTATTTTTTGCCTTACCATGGAGACTATAGTAATTTTCTTTTCAAAGTTTTGATAAATTTACCTCCTTTATCATTCATTGACCATACTGTAGACATACTTATTCTTGTACTTTGAAATTCTAGCCAATTTGAAGAATTGGCGCATCCACAAAATATGCTACAGAGAACAATACAGGAAATTTTATTTTGGCACAATAATAACTTATACGACAATATTTAAAATCCAAAAAAGGGCTAAAATAAGACTAACTGCTAAAAATGTGAAAGTTCACAGTATGTATTTGCAAATCCAAGGACTTTTTAAAAAGTATTAAATTATAAGTGACGACGGCAGTTGAGCTAGTGACTGCCAGTGTTGCTACAAATTCTAAACATTTATTTTTGTTGTCAGTGAGGAGCTGTCGGAGGCTAAAATGACCAACAATGCTTATACACATCAAATCAATGACACCAAACAACAGCTCAAGGACAACGAGCAAGAGCTGACAGTGTTAGAGGTCAGATATGAGAATGCCAAGGTTGCGGAGGAGATGCAGGCGAAAAAGGTTGGTAATACAGTATTTCATGTTTGTATTGCATCTTTCTTATGTGTTGCTGATAAGGGTAAAAAGTTGCCTAATATATCCCACTGTATGATCTGAAGAGGCAACTGTTGCAGGGCTGCTTCAGAATGAGTGGAGGGAACTCTTCTGTGCCCTTTGCTGAGGGAATATTGAATATAACATTAAGTGATGTGCTGTACCCATAGCAACACTTTGGACATCTTCCTAGGGTCTAAACAGAAGTTACGTATGTATATGAGGTAAAATGCTAGAAAGAAGTTGCAGTTGAGTATTCTGAATATTTGACGTCATACTAATGGTGTATTACTGTACAATTTGGACATCAATTAAGTGTTTTACATAGTCAGAAGGCGGGGTGTTTCTATAAGCCGAGTTACTTGTAGTAGAAAGGATAGTATTGGAAAGACTGTTGGCAGTGCCAGAGCTACTGTTCTTTGTGTATATTAATCACAGTTCAAGGCATGATACATTCATTTGATTCTTTGTTTGAAAGTTGAACATCATGATTATATTGTACATTCTCAGTTGACATCTGATACACATCAACTTGTGGAGAGGAAACACCCCAACTCCCACATTTGATTAATACATAACTAGAACTTAAATGTACAAGGGCCCAGTAACTTTTTTTTTCTGTTGCTTTATTTCGGTAATTCTAAGATCAGTGTCAAAGTGGATAAATGTTGGGGGAACAATCATTCTAGAAAATTTAAGCCACCCAGTTAAATTGATAGTACTATTCTAGTACCTCAGATTTAATTTTAATACATAGATCAATACATCAGTCAAGATCTCAAGTGCTGCAATAGTTTTTCTACCAGTCATTGCCCCCAAAATTTTGAAAGAAACAATATACTTTCCTTCCACTTATTCAGCCAATCTGATCAGTAAATCTCTTTTTTTGTATGGTGACACAGTGTTAGAGTTACTGTTCTTTGTGTGTCAGTGTTAGAGTTATTGATCTTTGCATATGGTTCAGGACCATCTCACTTTACATATTACAGGTCAGTGAGTTGCTGAACAAAATAGCAGAAGCAGAGTTTGAGCACGAGCGACTAGAAAATGAGAACACGAGGCTTCTACAGGAGATGAATCAGAAGGTATGACATAAATTCAGACGGGTGAGGTTGTTAAAATGAGACCCATTCTCAATTAGAGATTTTTTTAATTTTTATTTTTTTATCCCATCTCTCCAAATAAAAATATTGGTGTTAAAACAATCACACAGGATATCTGATTACACCTGTCTGGATCATAACTTCAGAACAAGTGGTTGTACAAAGCTTAGATTTGGTATGTTGGTTGCTCAAGGGAGAAGCAAGTCCACTGATAATTTTGGGAGTGGACTCCCAGTGGACTCCCAAAGGACAAGGTCACTGTTACTTAAATTAGAATTTCATAGAACAAATTACCTTTACCAGTGCTGACTTCAAAACCAATGATTGTAAAAAGATAAAAAAAACCTTTGAATGGTGGTTATCCGATGTGAAGAAACAATCAATTCACTATTTTGCGATTTGGAATATATATAAGTATGTACTGTCTCAAATTTGTTTTTTGACCATATCCTTACTTTAAAACAAAATCTTGCGCAAAAGCTAAACTTGATATATGGCTAACCCTAGGAAAGAGGATTAACCACATTGATTTTAAGTGTAGTTTGTCAAAAGTCAAGGTCACTATTACAAAAAACAGAATGGTCCAGAACCTTTGAGGCTACAAATTCTAACTATAAATGCAATACAAACACTTCAAAAGCACAGCCCCTTCTTAATGAAAATCATGGTTGTATCTATAACAGATGTTGCTCTTAGACAACCTGTGATGATATTTAAGTGTCTTCAATTCAGAAAAATTCCAACAACCACAAGATTGCAGAGCTTGATACCAAGGTGAAGCTGCATGACAGCAAATTGAGAACTATCCTTCTGAAGAATCAAAATGCTGAAATGGAGGTACAAGATTACCATGACAAAATCACAGATTGGTGAGTAGAGCTGATACTTTTACAGATAAAGAAGGGTCTTATAGATACGTCACACAAAAATGGAGATAATGTCATTTAAAATTTAGCATCGATCGCCCCTGGACTTAAGCCATTAATTGTTGTATAAATATAAGTACAAAAACTGCTTTATGATGGATTAGAGGATTACCTACTGTTAATTCAGTATAAAGGATTTCAAGGCCAAGGGAACAACAGTTCATCAATTAGAATAATATCCACACTTTGGACAGAGAGTCTTGATCCAATAATGTTGGTTGTTTGGGATTTTACATCCTCAGACTGGGTATTTAAAGACAAACGTTAATAAGTAGTAGTACATATATATTTGACATATTTTAACTCATTCACCCCTGAAATTTCATAATGAACTATTCCAACCTTTGAATTGGAAGAGTTCAAATGTGTCTTCAAGGGTGAATGAGTTAAATCAAAATCAAATGCCAGGAGAGCTATTCAATCACATGAACATCTTGTATTTTAACCTCAGACATTTGTATTATCCCTTTCACCCCTATGTAGACTCTTCCATGCAATGCATTGATATGGATTAGTCCATTATGGTTTTCAGTGGTGAAAGGGTTGTTATGTTTCTTTCAAATGACACACTGTAATTCAAGGTCTATAAGAGTGTGACCATTCTTTTTAATAGCAAGCAACAAAAGGTGGCTGATGAGAAGAATGTGGCTCGTATTCACAAAGAGAGGATGAAACTCCAACAACAGATGACTGTTACCATGGAGGAGTACCACAAGGTCCAGCACATCAACACCAGCATCCGCGATCAGCTAGAGAACGAACAGGAAAAGGCTTTCAAATCTGAAGAGAGTCTCAAGGTTAGTTTATAGGCCGAACAGGAAAACGCTTTCAAATCTGAAGATAGTCTCAAGGTTAGTTATAGGGCGAACAGGAAAACGCTTTCAAATCTGAAGAGAGTCTTAAGGTTAGTTTATAGGGCGAACAGGAAAAGGCTTTCAAATCCGAAGAGAGTCTCAAGGTTAGTTTATAGGTCGAACAGGGAAAGGCTTTAAAATCTGAAGAGAGTCTTAAGGTTAGTTTATAGGTCGAACAGGAAAAGGCTTTAAAATCTGAAGAGAGTCTCAAGGTTAGTTATAGGGCGAACAGGAAAACGCTTTCAAATCTGAAGAGAGTCTCAAGGTTAGTTTATAGGTCGAACAGGAAAAGGCTTTAAAATCTGAAGAGAGTCTCAAGGTTAGTTATAGGGCGAACAGGAAAACGCTTTCAAATCTGAAGAGAGTCTCAAGGTTAGTTTATAGGTCGAACAGGAAAACACTTTCAAATCTGAAGAGAGTCTTAAGGTTAGTTTATAGGTGGAACAGAAAAAGGCTTTCAAATCTGAAGAGAGCCTCAAGGTTAGTTTATAGGTCGAACAGGAAAACGCTTTCAAATCTGAAGAGAGTCTTAAGGTTAGTTTATAGGGCGAACAGGAAAAGGCTTTCAAATCCGAAGAGAGTCTCAAGGTTAGTTTATAGGTCGAACAGGAAAACGCTTTCAAATCTGAAGAGAGTCTCAAGGTTAGTTTATAGGTCGAACAGGAAAACGCTTTAAAATCTGAAGAGAGTCTTAAGGTTAGTTTATAGGTCGAACAGGAAAAGGCTTTCAAATCTGAAGAGAGTCTCAAGGTTAGTTTATAGGTCGAACAGGAAAAGGCTTTCAAATCTGAAGAGAGTCTCAAGGTTAGTTTATAGGTCGAACAGGAAAACGCTTTAAAATCTGAAGAGAGTCTCAAGGTTAGTTTATAGGTCGAACAGGAAAAGGCTTTCAAATCTGAAGAGAGTCTCAAGGTTAGTTTATAGGTCGAACAGGAAAAGGCTTTAAAATCTGAAGAGAGTCTCAAGGTTAGTTTATAGGTCGAACAGGAAAAGGCTTTCAAATCTGAAGAGAGTCTCAAGGTTAGTTTATAGGTCGAACAGGAAAAGGCTTTAAAATCTGAAGAGAGTCTCAAGGTTAGTTTATAGGGCGAACAGGAAAACGCTTTCAAATCTGAAGAGAGTCTTAAGGTTAGTTTATAGGTGGAACAGAAAAAGGCTTTCAAATCTGAAGAGAGCCTCAAGGTTAGTTTATAGGTCGAACAGGAAAAGGATTATAAATCTGAAGAGAGCCTCAAGGTTAGTTAATAGGTCATTAGAGTCGGAGGGTGAATAGCTTCTTGATTCCAAGGTCAATTTATATAAGAAACAGACTGATACATCTGCAGGTCTTGACAGTAGATCAATATAAGAGGTTTGTAGTTGTAGAATAGTGTTAAAATTGGCCAATTTCAAAGGTCTTGAGTGTCAAAAGCTAGGCCATTGTAGATTACAATGTTATACCTGATTTAAGAGCACGTTGCCTTAATTCATGTGTATCATAATCACATTTTTGTGTGTATATATTTTTTTATAAATATTTGTATAAGAATAAAAGATTTTTGTTATAATTTATTGACCCCTGTTCTGTAGTTGACAATCTTTCAATCTCATAGTTCAAAGTGGTCTTGTGTTCAAATCTGTATATAACTAATTCACCCCTGAAATTTCATGATGAACTATCCCATCCTTTGAATTGGAAGAGTTTAAATGTGTCTTCAGGGGTGAATGAGTTAAAGTATACTCTGTAAGGTGTATCCCTGATTGACATTGCTAATAATGGTATCTGTGATTTACAGGTGACGGTAGAGACACTCCGGAGACAGGTGAAGGACGAGGTACACTCCAGGACAGTTCTTGCCGCGCGCATCAATTCTGACTCCACAGAACTGCAACGAGCCAAGGGGGAGACAAGCACAAGGAGAGAAAAGGTAGGATGTCCGGCTACTGTACTCAAAGCCCTTCCTGAAACCATGTTTAACTCATTCACCACTAAAGTTTCATAATGAACTATTCCAACCTTTGAATTGGAAGAGTTCAAATGTGTCTTCAGGGATGAATGAGTTAAGTACAGCTGAACCCTATATACAAATTCCTTTTTCAATTTTATTGCACTTTGTAACTCCAATTTGTTCCTCCTCAGCAAGTGTAAGAGCGTGTCTGTCCCCATCCTTCCTCCTGTACTACAACCTTCCATCCAATAGGCTAGAAATTAATCATATTATGTATCCCCATCAGACTACACAAGTGTTACAGTATGTGTGTATCCCCATCATACTAAACAAGCGAAACAATATGTGTGTTCCCCATCAGACTACACAAGTGTTACAGTATGTGTGTATCCCCATCAGACTACACAGGTGTTACAGTATGTGTGTATCCCCATCAGACTACACAAGTGTTACAGTATGTGTGTACCCCATCTTACAGTATGTGTGTTCCCCATCATACTACACAAGCGTAACAATATGGGTGTTCCCTATCCTTTCACTGTGTCAAACCTTTAAACATACACCCATTTCACATTTGTATGGACATTAAACTTCCTCAGGCGGCTATGGTAGTAGAGGATGATGATGAGAGTGACGATGAAGATCTGTCACACTCTGGCGGTTACCAGGTAAGTCTTGTCCTTACCTAGTGGAGTAGCAGAACGCCACACTAGGTAGGAGTAACATCTCTGGATTGCTGTGACTTAATGAAACATTTTAATATGTCTGAATTTAAGGAATGATTATTAATCATGCATGATTTTCTTTTGCATTTTTGTTCGGAACAGAAAGAAATCAACCTTTACCTTACATCGTCAGAATTTACCAGTGTGTATGAGTTTCAGTAGTTTTCAATAAGACTTTTCAAAGGACCCACAGAGCACTACTAGTACACCATTGTTTAACATAGTTATGTTGCTTGTACTACAACATAATACAAATTAGAGAAGGATACAGGATTAAAAGGTTTTATATTTTTAACAGAACTCTCGTCAACTGATGTAAATCATTAAACTCAGAAGTTGTGTACCTGTGCTTACTTTTCTATTCGTTTTTGTCTTGCCATGACGAAGTAGTGGAAGCGAGACAAAGGTGTTGCTTTTTCCCGCGACGACGGCGTCAACATTAAGTTTTTGCGTTTAATATAAGTTAGTTTCACTGAAAGTATAAGTGCTACACCAACCAAACTTGGACCATAGATGCATCTTAGGTAGTACATCTCAACCCATGCATCAAATGCTGGATGCTGCCTACCTTTCATGGTCCATTGGCTTTGTCAGCGTCTCCATCAACATTAAGTTTTTGCGTTTAAGTTAGTTTCTCTGAAACTAAAAGTGCTACACCAACCAAACTTGACATATGAATTGATGGTCAAAGCAGGGCACAGGCGAGACATATCAATCTAAATGGCTTGTTTTCCTTAATGGGAGTTTTGTCCCCTTTTATAGAATGATCAGTCTAATTATGTCTTGAATTACCAGTAGGTCAAATTCCACACTAACAAAGTGCTTGTGTTTTGTTTGACTTTAGCTGTAACTTTGATCATTGAGAGTTTGTTGTGTGAATGATTAGTGTACAAACGTACGGTAGAAATCTGGTTCATCTAAGATTTTGTTTCATCCGAGAAAGCGTGATGATTTGTATTTTAACTCGGATTTGAAAAGATTGTGTGGTGTTCATTTTTCAAATAACAGAAACCCAGATAAGTTTCAACTAACTCCCATTTCTGATATTAGAAAGTAACAGTGATTTTGTAATAATGATTTAATACAAACGTAAATGATTTTTTAAGTCGTCTAAATCACAGGATTTTGGAATTTAGATTAGAAAGATTTACACAGCTTATTCTCCAATTTTGGTAATCCTTTTATCATTAAATGTCCATGTGACTTGGAATTCCATACTAAAGATCAACATCAGCTTTAAGTGTTTACAAGACAGAGATTATACAAGGTTGTGCTTTACAAATCTTATATTTTCATAATATGACCATATCTTAAACCAATGTGCTGAAATTTGACACATGACCACCTAGATTGTCTGATATATGTACTGTTGTTTTCCAGGTTTCTGTTTTATGCTTGGATTAAAGTTAAAAAAAAAAAAAAGAAAGAAAGAGAATTGCAGATAGACTTGTAGAGAGTGGTTTACTTAAACTTTACAAACAAGAACAAATTTGACAATGATATATTGATATTTCGTTTTTATTGTAAAAGAAGTTTTATTCAAAAGTTGTTTCGGACACTTATTTAATTCTGCCACCATTGTTATTTACCGTATTTGACTGCAAATACCCCCCACTCACAAATAAGCCCCCTTACCGACTTTGGCAAATGTCCTGGGAACAGGGTGGGTGCCTGTAATTAAGTCCCCTCCCTAATTTTGTTTCTCTTAAAAAAAAAAAGTTATTTTTTGTCTCTGAACATAAGCAAATTTGCTACCCAAGTTGAAATTCTGCAAATATTTGTGTCACTGAATTGCACAATAGTAATTACTATATATATGTAAGTGTCATACATGTACTCAACTGTGATTCTGTATTGGGTTTTTAATAAAGGATTATGTAATTATATATTCATGAATCAACTTAGAATGAATATTATAACAAATAAATATAGAATATGATGTAAACATAACAAAATTTCAAGATATTAAGGTAATTTTTTTGTGTGAAACCATAATATGAAACCTTTTTACTTTGACAGGCCAAAAAGGTAGCTACTGAAGTTGACACATTGGTGGACGAGGTGTTGGTCAAGGTGAAGAAACTCCGCACAGCCAAAAAGGAAAATAACGAGGTAATTACACCTGTCCTGGCTGTCTAATGGCATTTTTACTGGGGTATCGTTTAGTTTTGCTCGTTATAAGCTATTTGATCAGTTGAGATTTTGAGTTGATTGATGACTTTATACACTCAGGAAACAAAAATTAAGAAAAAAAATATAAATTACTGTAATGCCTATGTAAAATGTTATTAACAATATAATGCTGAAAAATAGACACATTATTTGTTAGAAATTAAAAAAAAAAAAATGATGCTGAAAATTCTTTTTAAAAACACAAAAGAAGACTTTTTTTCAGTATTATTTTGGTTTCTTGAGGCAAAGAATACAAAAGGATTTGTATTCATGCGCAAACTTTTTCAAAGATCATTCAAAAGGCCCGTATTTCAAAGATCAGTGCAGATTGTATAGTCTGGAGAACAATCATTAAGAGCAACAAATTATCTTCCAGAGGTTTATACATTCTTGATATTTAGTCAGGTAATGTTTAAATATACACAATTTTAGCAGTTTTTTTATGCTTCTTGGAAAGTGCTCATAGAAACCTGTTGCTTTATTTTGGATGATGCTATATTTGTTTATGTTCTACTTTAGATCTTTCTCCTGCTTTCAAGAGCATAATACATATTCATATTTGCCACATTATTTCTGGGTTTTCTTCTTCTTAATTTTGAAGTGCTTTATAGAATATTTAAGTTAAGAATTTCCTTGCTTTGCCTTGATGATATAACTTTTTTGTAGGAGGAAATGTTTTTTTTTCTCCACAAATAAACAGGATATGCCCATAAAACCTTTCTGTAAACAATTAAATTTTATCAGAAACCCATGAAAACCTCTTTTATAAAGATGGTTTTGACTTTGCTAATCATTTGAAAACTTTGAAAGTTGCACAAGAGTGTATTTTTTGTTACGATTTATGTTCTTCTGAATTATTAGATAATGATATATATATGTAAGTAGATTTATTTAATAAAGGGAGATAATTCAAATAATCATAGACAAATTCCTAGGTAGCATATACCCTTAATGTAAACTAATTTTAGAATGCACTGATAATACATTACAGTGTGTACTTGTATATACATGGTAGTTTGTTTTGATAAAAAAGTCTTTATAATGGCAGAATTATTAGTCAGATATGATGAATCCCACTTAACATTATTTTTCCTGTCAGAGCTGTAAAAAACCCGGCAGCATATAGAACATGACTTCGTACATGTGATTTATAAATATTTCTGTCTGTCAGCCTGTTAAGGTGGACTTAACAGGGCTGTACACACTTCAGAGAGAAAACACACAGGTAGAGTATATTGTTTGCTGGGTATTTGTGCAGTGGTGAAGTTGACCTGGTCAGTTATAACGAACCAGACATGTATTTACTTTGTGTATACGTATGTAGCTTTATCTAAAACTTGTGAATGTAATATCATTGAAAACCTTAAAATAATATTGGTAGATTATTTCTATATAAAATTATTTGGTATCGCGTTAAGTTTTGATTTCAAATGTTTTTTATATATTGTTTATGCATTTTTTGTATGTCACTTAGCCCTTTTTAAAACTTCATTTGAATAACAATAAAAAAAAGTTTGTGTTCCATACGGTTTTAACCATTGATGAAGTTTCAGTCACTTAGGGGTTTCATTAAATTCATAACACACAAATGGTCTCATTTAAGTGCTCTCAAATTTTAGTGCATTATTGAATTTTAACAGATGAGTGCATTGATGAATTGTCACACCTTCCTTCAATACATGCAATAGAAAACCAAACATGGAAACTTCAACGAACAATTACAATATAGAGCAGTTTTTGTCTTGCCGCCACGAAGAAGCGGAAGCAAGACTAAGGTGTTGCTTTTCCGGCGGCGGCGGCATCAACATGAAGTTTTTGTGTTTAAGTTAGTTTCACTGAAACTATAAGTGCTAGACCATGAAACTTGGACCATAGATGCATCTTAGGTAGTTCATCTCAACCCATGCATCAAATTGAAATGTTGGATGTGACCTACTTTTCATGGTCCATTGACTTTGTCAGCATCTCCATCAACATTAAGTTTATGTGATTAAGTTCGTTTCTCTGAAACTATAAGTGCTAGACTGACCAATCTTGAACCATAAATGCATCTTAGGTAGTACATCTCAACCCATGCATCAAATTGAAATGTTGGATGTGACCTACTTTTCATGGTCCATTGACTTTGTCAGCATCTCCATCAACATTAAGTTTATGTGATTAAGTTTGTTTCTCTGAAACTATAAGTGCTAGACCGACCAATCTTGAACCATAAATGCATCTTAGGTAGTACATCTCAACCCTACTCCAACAATGTTAGAGGTTTTACACGGCGAAAAACTTTTGACAGGCGCCGCGTAACCTCTAACTGCCCATAGCTGATTTTCCCGATGCTGACTATCACATTTTCAAAGTTCGGATTAATAAAGAGTATATCGTGTTTACATACATTTAAATGGTCAAAATGGTCCAATAAATATTCCTTTCCATAAATCCATGATTATATGAGAAAAAATTCATGTCAAAGACATAAATAATGAGTTTTTCCTCATTCGAAGCGAAGCAGACAGCATTTGCCATGATTTTTCCAGTTAATATAAAAATGGAATACATGTAATGTGGTGGTAGGTAAATCTTGTACCCCGTTCCCGGACCCAGACTGAAACCCTGTACCGGGAATATAAAGATATTTTAATATCTCATTAACGCGATGGTTTATAATTTTTATAAAAATAAAGAATAATTTCAAACATTATTTTCTAAATGTGACAATTACAAAAATGTTTATTTATTATCTAATAATTTAGAAATCGACGATAATGTGTTTTTCAAGGGGGTAAAACTTGTACGCCGCTGTCAACCGTGAAAATCACGGTTTTTCACATATAAGTAGAAATTTAGGGAAAATTAACATGTTATTTTCAGATATATAGAAGAAAATACCTTACTGTTTATAATTATGTAAGTTTCGTTGAAATAAACAACATATTTCACATGAAATTCTGACTTTGTTGTGATCGCGGG